TGAGGATCATGGTTTAAAGTAATTCAGCAGTGATACTCACCAAAGACTATGTTGGAAATAAACTTTACAACTTGGGAAGAAGAGGGGTCAGGAGGGGAAAATACTGGGAGAAAATGAGGGAGGGGGTGACACTGTTTAAGAAGAAATGTACTCAGGGGCTGGGAAGGTGGCTCAGTGGTAGAGCGCTTGCCTTGCATGCCTGAGGCCCTGGGTTCGATTCCTCAGCACCATGTAAGCAAAAAGAAAAAAGCCGGAAGTGGCGCTGTGGCTCAAGTGGTAGAGCTCTAGCCTTGAGCTGAAGAGCTGAGGGACAGAACTCAGGCCCAGAGTTCAGGCCCCATGACCAGACGGAGAAAAAAAAAAAAGAAACGAAAAATGTACTCAATATCTGACTTATGTAACTGTAATTCCTCTGTACATCACTTTTACAGTAAAAAACAAACAAAAAAAAAATGCCAGCCTGGGCAGGAATGTCAGGAGACAACAGAGCTGTGGATGAAGAGGTAGAGCACTAGCCTTGAACAAAAAAAGCTCAAGATAGTGCCCAGGCCCTGAGTTTAAGCCCCAGAACTGACACACATGCACACATGCATGTACACATAGACACACACAAAATTAATAATTTTTGGCACGGTAGGAATGTACATATCGCTAGGTAAAAACCAGAGACATAATGCATACAGAGGAAAAAGAAAAGTCAATATATGAATAGTTATGTAAAAGCATTTATGAATTTTTTGTTAGTGTTTTTGTTGGTGGTGGTAGTGTCTGATTTTGCTTTTTTTTTTTTTTTTTTTCTTTTGGGAGGGCAAAAAGGGATGCAGAAAGGGAAAGAGGAAGGGTGAACAAATGCAGTCATGCCATTCAGTATACACTATCTAGCAAATGATTTATGCAACTTGTGGACAGGGATGGGAAGGGGAAACTAGGGAGAGCAAAGGAAGGGTTGGCATTGTCCAAAAGAAATGTACTCCTTACCCAACTTACGAAATGGCAACCCATTTCCCATTAATAACACATTAAAAGTATTTTGGCTAGGAAGATGGCTTAGTGGCAGAGTGCTTGCCTAGCACGCATGAAGCCCTAGGTTCGATTCCTCAGTACCACATAAACAGAAAAAGTGGGAAGTGGCACTGTGGCTTAAGTGGTAGAGTGCTAGCCTTGAGCAAAAAAGCAGGTCAGGGACAGTGCCCAGGCTCTGAGTTCAAGCCCCAGGATTGGCAAAAAAAAAAAAAAAAGAGGGCTGGGAAGGTGGCTCAGTGGTAGAGCATTTGCGTTGCATATGTATGAGGCCCTGGCTTCAATTCCTCAGCACCACATAAGCAAAAAGAAAAAAGCCGGAAGTGGCGCTGTGGCTCAAGTGGTAGAGCGCTAGCCTTGAGCTGAAGAGCTGAGGGACAGTGCCCAGGCCCAGAGTTCAGGCCCCACGACCAGACCCCCGCCCCCCCCCCCCCCCAAAAAAAAAAAAGTCTCATAGTCTTTCCTGCCTGGCTGTGAACCGTTATCTTCAGATTTCAGCCTATTGAGTGGCTAGGATTATAGGTGTGACCTACTAGAGTCCAAATAGCTTGGCTTTCTTGTAGCTAGTGCTCTATCACTTGAGCAACACCTCCAGTCCAGCTTTTTACTTGTTAATTAGAGACAGTCTCTTGGAGTTTTCTATCTGAGCTGGCTTCTAACATCAAGTTCCTGCAGGTCTCAGCCTCCTGGATTGCAGTGTGGGACCTCACTCCTCAGCTACTCTTCTTCTTCTTTCTTCTTCTTCTTTTTTTTTTTTTTGCCAGTCCTGGGGCTTGAACTCAGAGCCTAGGAACTGTCCCTGAGCTTCTTTTTAGCTCAAGACTAGCACTCTACCACTTGAGCCACAGCACCACTTCCTGTGTTTTGTTTACATGGTACTGAGGAATTAAACCCAGGGCTTCATGCATGCTAGGCAAGCACTCTACCACTAAGCTACATTCCCAGTCCTAGCATTTTAGGTGGGTGATATTCTAATAACTTTGTTGACATTATTACTTTCTGAGTGAGTAGAAAGTAACAAAATTTATTAGTGATCACATAAATAATACCCTGGAAACTTCCAGAACAATTTTTTAATAGAGGGAAAATGTGTGGAAGTATTAATTTCATGCATTTCTTTCTTCATTCATTCATTTGTAGGTTCACTGGGAAAAAAGACCTTCTAGGTCTTTTTCATTGCTGTGTCAACTAAGCCAAGAACAGTACTAGACCCGTGGTATTCAGTCAGTGTTTGTGAAATTCACTAATCCATTCAATAATTTTTTTTTTTGGTCATGGGGCTTGACCTCTGGGCCTGGAGACTAACCCTCAGTTCTCCAGCTCAAGGTAGTGCTCTACCACTTGGGCCACAGAGCCACTTCTAGTTTTCGGGTGGTTTATTGGAGATTCGAGTCTCATGGACTTTCTTGCCTGGGCTGGCTTTGAACTGCAATCCTCAGATCTCAGCCTCCTGAGTAGCTAGGATTACAGGTGTGAGCCACCAATGCCTGGCTCAGTAAATATTTATAGAGCAGGGGGACTAATCTTGGGAAAAAAAAATGACAAGCCATTCTTCCCTTTCTAGTATAGTGGAAGAAATGCACAGCAGTATGTAGCAATAAAAATGCATTCAGATATAAGAGTAATATACCACAGGTGTAAGAATTTTAGAGGAAGAGTGATGTTTAGGGAAAAAAAAGGTCAAGAAAAAGAAAAGGTAAGCTGAGTGCTGGTGGCTCATGCTTGTAATACCAGATACTCAGGAAGCTGAGATTTGAGGATTGTGTTTTGAAGCCAGCCAGGGGAGGAAAGTCTGTGAGATTCTCATCTCCAATAAACCACTCAGAAAAAGCTGGAAGTGGTGTTGTGGCTCAAGTGGTAGAGTGTTACAGCCTTGAGCACAAAGAGGCTCAGGGACAGTGCTCAGGCTGAGAGTTCAAGTCCTAGGATGAGAGAGAGAGAGAGAGAGAGAGAGAGAGAGAGAGAGAGAGAGAGAGAGAGAGAGAGAGAGAGAGAAAGAGAGACCTTTGAGGGGGAAACTGGGAGACAGCCAAGTGAAGGGGTGACATTGTCCAAAAAGAAATGTACTCATTACCTGACTTATATAACTGTAACCCCTCTGTACATCACCTTTGTAGTAACAACAAAAAAATATGGCAGAAATAGACTAGCACTCTATCACTTGAGCCACAGCGCCACTTCCGGCTTTTTTTCTTTTTGCTTATGTGGTGCTGAGGAATCGAACCCAGGGCCTCATGCTTGCAAGGCAAGTGCTCTAAGCACTGAGCTATCTTCCCAGCCCAGAAATAAAGGTTTCAATGAACTTTAATGATCTGAATCAAATAAAAAGGAATGGCTGATGAGCTCAAAGTCATGTTTAAAAGCATAATAAATTTGCTGGGTGCTGGTGGCTCATGCCTGTAATCCCCTCTCCCCCCTCCCCCCGGCCCAAAATGAGTAACTTCATTTATTCCAAAAGCATTTACTGTCCACTTACTTGCTGTTGGATACTAGGAAAACAAAGATGAATGAGACACCAAGCCTGTTCCTCACCAATGCAATGTTTGGCAGAAGACAGGCTAGAAAAGGAACCGTGGAATCCATCTGCAATATCAAGAGGACCTCAAAGAAGAGCAGGACTGCTCAGAGGAGTTAGCAAATGCCTGTTTTCTCGGGAGGTGATCTGTGAATGGCCCGAAGGATGATTTCTTCAACGAGTGAGGGGAAGGCCACAACCTTGCAAGCTTTAGGCTGATCAGAGTGGCCACCCCCACTTAGGTCCCTACTTAAGTTCCTCCACCTCCGCCTGCACTATGCCTTCTATCTCCCCACTCTATTCTGATCACCATGGCGTCCCTCCTCACCTTTCTATTAAAGTGGATGTGGTCTGTTGAGGTGGGTGTCGCTCCCTGCTTTCATTCTTCTCACCTTTTCCAATCCATCCTTTTCCTTAACACCATCTGCAGACAGGGAACTACTGGGTTTAGATGATGATGGAAACCATAGGTCTCTAGACATTTTTTTTTCTTCAGGCAAGCAAGCGAGGGAACTCTGGGAGTAGTAAGGCAAATGGCCAAGTTTGTCAGAACACAGCGATCATACCGTTTCTGGACTTCGTTTATGAACAAATTGTTTTTTCTTTGCTGCCATTTACAAAGAGTCTAGTTTTTTGGGGCTTAACTGGGTTGAGGTTACCGGGTGGACACAGGTCACCCACAGTGAAGGCGGGAGGAGCTCTGCCTCGCCCCTCGGGCTTCCAGAGCGCTGTTCCAAGGGGGTCCTCGTTGCTGGCCTCCGGATTTCTTCAAGTGATCACAGGGGATTTCCATGTTTGGGTGGGGAGAACACGCGGGCGCCCCGGATGCCGGAGGGCAGGGGATCGCAGGTGCTTTCCGGGCGAGGTCGAGGGCCGGCCTCCTCCCTTGGCTTCCCTCTCCCAGCCCGGGAGGGTGCGGGGTCGGCCGGCCGCGGGAGCTGGGCGCAGCGGGCGCGCTGACAGCCGACCACCGCGGAGAGGAGCCGGGGCCGCGGGGGGCGGGGGGGCGGCACTGCGGTGGGGCCGCCGACGGCAGACAGCCCAGGTCGGCGGGGCGGGCGAGGACGCCGCCGAGCCGAGCGCAGGTGTGGACGCGGCGGCCCGCGGCCCACCCTTGGCAGCCGAGGGGCGGGGGGGGGGCGCGCGCTTCCCACACACTCGCGGGCCCTGGGCTCCCGCGCTCTCCCCGGGAACCACCCAGGTCTTCAGGCTCGGCCCACGGGCCGGCAGCGCCGCAGCGCCTGCGATGGCGGCGGGCCAGGCGGCCGCCAGGGGGCGGGAGCGGCGCGGGGGGACAAAGGCCGCGGGCGGGTGGCCGGGCGGAGCGAGGGCCGGCGTGCGCGCGCACGAGCCTGGCGTGCTGGGGCGCTGGAGCGGCTGCGCAGGCGGGGGCGCGCGGCGCGGGCCCGGAGGGCGCGGCGGGAGCGCAGGGAGGCGGGCGGAGGCGGGGGGCGGGGTGCCGAGGCGTGGAAGCTCGCGGCGGCGGCGGCGGCGGCCGAGCGGGGTCAGTTCTGTGTGCTGCTTGCCAATGTTGGAGCCGTCTGCAGCGTGTCCCGGGCTAGAAGGTAAATAACCTCGTGGGGGGGCGCCCGGGGGGCTCCCCCCGCTTCCGCCTCGCCGGAGGTGCAGGCTGAGGGCGCCGGGGAGCGCGGCGGGTCGGCGGCGTGGCGAACCCCGCGGAGAGCGGCCCCCGTGGCGGCCTCCCCTCCCCCGCGCCGTCCCTCCCTCCCGGGCCGCGCGCGGCCGGCGGGGGAGGGGAGGGCGGTGGGCGGCGGGGGAGGGGCGGCTGAGGGGGGTGTGGGGAGGGAGTGGGACGACACAGGTGTTCTGAGGGGAGGAGCCGGGGGGGTGGGGAGGCCGGCTGGGGGGGGGGCTGAGCCGGGGGGGTGGGGAGGCCGGCTGGGGGGGCATCCTGCGGGGGGGGGGGGCTGGGAAGGTGGTGGTCGCGGGGACGGCGGGACGGGGCGAGGCGGGGAGCGGCGGGCGGCGCGGCGGGCCTGGGGGCGCCGGGGGCGCGGCGGCGGGGCGGGGCGGGGCGGGGGCGCGCCGAGGGGGCGGCGGCGGCGGCGGCGGCTATTCCTGTAGAATGGGCCAGCGGCACCGACGTAACTCGCCGAAATTGGGAAGGTAGGTGGGGCCGAGGGGACAAAATAGATCCGATGACCGGCAAGTTCTGCCGCGGCTCAGCCCAACTCCTGCCGTGAGGGCTCGGCTTCCAGGGGAGGTTGGCAGTGGTGACCTTGCCGGGGCGACCAGACAAAGCTCGGTGACGGCCGGCCGTGTGCGCGGCCGGGGACTCGGGGGGGGGGGGGGGCTGTACCGCAGAGGCCACGGAGGCCAGCGCCAAGCTGGGAGTTTTCAGAGGGGGGCGGGGAGCAGGCCACGGGCTCCCGGAGTCCCAGAAATTATGCACGATTTTGCTTTCTGCACTGTTGAATAATTTTTGCAAGGCTTTGGTGATTGATCTCTCCCCCGAAGAGGCTGAGTAGAGAAGGCCCATCCAATGAGGGGAGAACCGGGAATTTACCCAAGGATTAAAACAAAAAAAGTGGATGGATCCGGCCGAGAGGGAGAGAGATGATCGATGTCCTTTACGTGTGCTTCACTCACCGAAAGCCTGGATTATTGGGTTTTTATGATCTTGGTGAACTTGTGCAGAGCTGTTGCTTGGATTTCTGGTGTGTCCTTGTGTTTTGGAAAAGCCTGAACATTTGAAATCAAGATCTGATTGGCAGGCAGGATGACAGTAACCTTGAAGGAAAGATTGCAACATTTCTCAATAGGATATTTCTTTCCCATCCGTGTGTGTGTGTGTGTGTGTGTGCGCGCGCGTGCGCGCGCGCCTACTGGGGCTTGAACTCAGGGCCTGGGTGCTTTGCAGTTTTTCCCTGTCAAGGCACAATAAAACATAATTCCATTTGAACCACAGCTCTACTTCCGTCTTTTTGGTGGTTTATTAGAGGTTAGAGTGGGCTTCCTGGGCTGGCTTTGGACCTCGAGGCTCAGATTTCAGCCTCCTGAGTAGCTAGGATTACAGACCTGAGCCATAAGTGGCCAGTCTGTCTTTCTTTCTTGCTTTCTTTCCCTTCCTCCCCCCCATTCCCCCCCCTGCTTCCTCTCTCCCCCCCTCTTTTTGCCAGTCCTGGGGCTTGAACTCAGGCCCTGGGCACTGTCCCTGAACTTCTTTTGCTTACAGCACTCTGCCACTTGCACCACAGTGCCACCTGCTTTTTCTGTTTATGTGATACTGAGGACTCGAACTCTGTGCTTCTTGCATACTAGGCAAGTACTCTACCCTAAGCTACATTCCCAGCCCCAGTATTACTTTTTTTTGTTGCTCGTGGGGCTTGAACTCTCTGGGCTTTGGCACTGCCCCTCAATTCTTCAGCTCAAGGCTAGCACTCTACCACTTGAGCCACAGAGCCACTTCTGGCCTTTTCTGTATATATGGTGCTGAGGAATCAAAACCCACGGCCTCATGCATGCAAGGCAAGCACTGTACCACCGAGCCACCTTCTTCTCAGACCCCATTTTTACTTTCTTAAGATGAATAAAATATACTATTGTACATTGAGGTGTAGTGGAAAAAAAAATAAACCTGTCAAAATCAAACTTAATCTGCTTAATTGTCTTGTTCAGTTTATCTATATTTTACTGTGAACCAGAGATAGCACAAATCACTTGAATTGTAGATGTGTTATATTTTGCAATAAGACTATTACATTTTTGAAGCAGTAATGTTAAACTGTGTGTGTTTTCAGTTCTAGTCACCATTACCACCTTTCATTACCTAGCAGTGTAATAGGAAATTTACTTCTAAGTGATGGATGACATTGATAGATAGAGTACCTACTGCCTCACAAAAAGTTTTCTTTTTCCCTTAAAATTCAGTGTTTTGAATCTGTTGAAATATTGCTGTCTAATCCAAGAATGTGTTGTCAATTTTAGAAAGCGTGGTATGAATTTTTGATTTTTAGCTTTTAATTTGGAAATAGTTTCAAGATTTCAGAAAAGTTGCAAGGATAATACAGAGAACATCATTATAAATTTGACTCGGGTCCACCTGTTATCATGTATTGGTTCACCTTTTATGGTCTTTTACACACAATATATTGTTTTCCTGAAGATACAATGATACTTTTAAATAATACAGAAAGTGAGACTATATAGTTGGCCAAAATACATAATTTTTTCTTTGTACTAATTTCTTTATTTTTATTCTTTGTTGTGGTACTGGAGATAGAACCCAGGGCCTCCTTGCTAGGAAGCACTCTGCCACTGAGCTGCCCCATGCCTGTCCTTATCTCTTCCCTTCCCTTCCCCCCTCCTTTTGAGACAAAGCCTCCTGTGTACCCCGCTGGCCTCCTGCTTGTGATCCTCCCTTTTTACTCTTCCTAGGGCACGATCATACCTGGCTCTTACTTCCTTTTTTATATGTATATATTACACCAGGTTCTATTTTCTTCTTCTTTTTTTTTTTTTCTGGTCATGGGGCCTGAACTCAGGGCCTGGGGGCTGTCCTCAGCTCTTCAGCTCAAGGCTAGTACTCTGCCATTTGAGCTACAGCACCACTTCTGGCTTTTTCTGCTTATGTGGTGCTGAGGAATCAAACCCAGGGCCTTATGCATGCAAGGCAAGCGCTCTACCACTGAGCTACCTTTCCAGCCCCAAAAGACCATTTGTATGTATAGAGGGAAAAACAATCTAGGTTTTGTAACAGTTATCTGTCCATACTACACAGTGTGGAGAGATACACCCAGTGTGTTCAATCACATGTATTTGTGCCTTTCCTAGTTACTCAAAGTATTAGGTGACCACTGCTTGTAATAATTATGATTGATATGTGTGGACATGTCATTGATTTTGATAAACTCCCCAAATTCTCCATATCTGCCTTGTCATTCTTGTAGTTCCAGACGTTAAGCACTTTGGTACAGGAAACATTTAAAGAAGATGTGTCTTTTATCACTCAGTGTATAGTGAAGAGAAGAGGATTTTGAATTTGTCTGAACTGGGTTTTAATATCACCAATGTAGCTATGAGCGAATAGTCCAAACCAGACCTTCTTAAGATAATTAAAATTAAATGAGGGAGTATAAAAGTGGCAGATAGGGGCTGGGAAGGTGCCTCAGCAGTAGAGTGCATACATGAGGCCCTAGGTTCGATTCCTCAGCACCACATAAACAGAAAAGGCTGGAAGTGGCACTGTGGCACAAGTGGTAGAGCACTAGCCTTGAGCTAAAGAGCTCAGGGACAGTGCCCAGGCCCAGAGTTCAACGCCCATGTCTGATAAATGATGGTTTCCCATACTACTAGTACGTTGGAATTTTTCACTGCCATAGTTTATTGAGTGAGACTTCTGTGTACTTAGAATCTTTCATAAACTCTTAGAAGACACTAAAATTTGTACAGTTCTAATTTTCCTTAAAAGCTGTTCGTGTGTGTGTGTGTGTGTGTGTATGTGTGTGTGTGTGTGTGTCTACCTTCTTGAAAAAATTAAAATGAAACACATTTTGAAACACTTTAAAAATATTCTATGAGGGGCTGGGAAGGTGGCTCAGTGGTAGAGTGCTTGCTTTGCATGCATGAGGCCCTGGGTTCGATTCCTGAGCACCACATAAGCAAAAAGAAAAAAGCCGGAAATGGCGCTGTAGCTCAAGTGGTAGAGCGCTAGCCTTGAGCTGAAGAGCTGAGGGACAGCGCCCAGGCCCAGAGTTCAGGCCCCACAACTGGACCCCCTCCCCCCCCCCAAATATTCCATGATTCTTTTAGAATGTGGAACTTTGAATTGGTATTTAGTTCTGTGTAATTTGTAGCCTAAGAATGAGGATAGTAAATATTTTTGCCTTTTATATTGTCCACTAAGACATATGCATGAGAATTACCCACCAATTGTGGGGTCTGTGCTAATACAAAAAGTTTATGGAAACTTTTTTTTTTTTTTTTGTTAGTTGTGGGGCTTGAACTCTGGGTCAAGGCACTGTCCCTCAGCTCTTCAGCTCAAAGCCAGTGCTCTACCACTTAAGCCATATCCCACTTCTAGTTTTCTGGTGATTAATTCTCATGGACCTTCCTGCCTAAGCAGGCTTTGAACTGAGATCCTCGGATCTCAGCCTCTCCTGAGTAGCTAGGATTACTGGTGTGAGCCACCGATGCCTGGCTGGAAACTTTTGACAAGAGGGGAGGTGGAATTTTATGAAAATAAAATAGCATATAATGGCACTGTTATGTCTTCCTACTTTATCAAATGCTTTAAAAATGTACAACAGACTGGCATATGTTTCCTTGTTTGTTTAAACTTGAGACCTTTTTTTTTTTGTTAGCTTCACAACCATCTATCTGGAAGAACATCATTAAGTAACATCATTTAAAGCACAGTCACTACTGTATCACACATGGGCATATCTTTAAAAGAAGACATGGAATACTAGAGACACATGCCACTGTGGGCATTCTGAGTTGTCTATGGTATGCTTACAAATTGTAATTTTTGTAATGCTGTGAATTTAACAACTTTTTAATGAAAAGGATTTATTTATTTATTTTTGGTGCTGGTCCTTGGGCATGAACTCAGGGTTTGGACACTGTCCTTGAGCTTTTTTGGTCCATGCTAGTGCTCTACCACTTGAGCCACAGCTCTACTTCCAAAAGCAAAATTTTTTTTTTTTTTTGGGTCCGGTCATGGTGCCTGAACTCTGGGCCTGGGCACTGTCCCTCAGCTCTTCAGCTCAAGGCTAGCGCTCTACCACTTGAGCCACAGTGCCACTTCTGGCTTTTTCTTTTTGCTTATGTGGTGCTGAGGAATCAATCAAACCCAGGGACTCAGGCATGCAAGGCAAGCGCTCTACCACTGAGCCACCTTCCCAGCCCCCATAATTTTTTAATACTATTTACCCCACAGATTGCTATTAAAGGCAAATTAGCTTCATAAGTTTTAAAACTTTTTTTTTTTTTGTTGGTTGTGGGCCTGAACTCTGGGCCTGGGCGTCGTCTCTTAGCTCTTCAGCTCAAGGCCAGCACTCTACCACTTGAATCACAGCACTACTTCCGACTTCTGCATATATGGTGCTGAGGAATTGAACTCAGGGCCTCATACATGCAAGGCAAGTACTCTATCACTGAGTCACCTTCCCAGCCCAGCTTCATAAGTTTTAATTTATGCAGCTCTTTCTTTTTTAAGTGTGAAAGAAACATTGACAATTTTTTTTTTTGTTCAGTTGTGGGGCTTGAACTTTGGACCTGGGCACTGTCCCTCAGCTCTTTAGCTCAAGGCGAGTGCTGTACCACTTGAGCCACAGCGCCACTTTGGGTTTTCTGAGTGGTTTATTGGAGATAAGAGTCTCAGGTGCTTTTCTGCCCAGGCTGGCTTTGAACCATGATTCTCAGATCTTAGCCTCCTGAGTAGCTAGGATTATAGGCCTAAGCCACTAGCACCCAGCTTGACAGAATATTTTAAATTGTACAATTTAAGTGAATAGGTGTTATAATTTTTATTACTTAATAAAGTACCTTTTTCATATAAAAAGATTAGAACTTAAAAAAGTATATACTTCAGTATTTTACTGTTCCTGCTTCTTGGAACCAATTGTGTTACTAGAAGAAGTACATACAAGTCTATATATTGTTAATGTTAAGAGGCTTATAAACAAAATGTGTTTCTCAGAGATGGCAAGGAAGTAGTAAACATTACTAAATTGTAGAAAGTGAAGGACACTAAGTCACTAATATGTATTTAGTGTATTGTTTATACATTACCTTCCAAATTAAATTTATTAAAAAAGAAAATTGATTGGGTTTGTAGTTTTAGTTATTTATGGCAGTTGAATTTTAACACTACTTGACTAATGCTACAGTTTTTTTGTTTTGAAAATAGTATTTATTGCCAAGAATGCTAGACACAATGCTACAGTTTTTAATAATCTTAACTTTTGAATTAAAAATATGCTTTGTAATTGATCACACTCAAATTCCAATGTTTTTGATTTGCTTATATCAAACAATTATTTTAAGCTAGTACTCAAGCACCATCGGACTGTTGAGTTTTATTCAAGTGGAATTGCTGAGTTATCTTCTCATTGCATACCATATTACCTCAGATTTAAGGACTTAACAAGCATTTTTTTTCCCTTTTTCTTTTTCTTTTTTATTGTGAAAATACTGTACAGAGGAGTTACAATTACATGGGCAAGATAACGAGTACATTCTTTTTTTTTTTTTTTTTTTTTGGTCCGGTCGTGAGGCCTGAACTCTGGGCCTGGGTGTTGTCCCTCAGCTCTTCAGCTCAAGGCTAGTGCTCTACCACTTGAGCCACAGCGCCACTTCCGGCTTTTTTCTTTTTGCTTATATGGTGCTGAGGAATCAAACCCAGGGCCTCGAGCATGCAAGGCAAGCGTTCTACCACTGAGCCACCTTCCCAGCCCCACGAGTACATTTCTTATGCAGCATTGTTGCTTCCTCTTTGTTTTCCCTTTCCATCCCTTCCCATACTCCCCTCACGTCCCCCCCTTAACAAGCATTTGTTGTCTCACGGTTTCTGTGGTTAAAAATCGTCACTCCTGGACATCTATCCAGAACATTACAGGCCAGAATACTGTAAAGGTACTTGCACATTCATGTTCATTGCTGCACTATTCACAATAGCCAAGTTATGGAAACAGCTCAGATGCCCTACTGTAAATGACTGTATCCAAAAAATGTGGTACCTGTGCACAATAGAATTTTACACAGCCAGTAGAATAGTATTATGTCATTTGCAGGGAGTTGGATGGACCTAGAACAAATGTTAAGTGAGGTAAGCCAAGCTCAGAGAGACAAATGGTGCATATTTTCTCTCATATGTGGAAGCTAGATCTAAAATTCACTGGAGCATAATAAATTATACAGGACTGTAGGCATTCACACCAAACAAGGATAGTCTTAGGAGAGGAAAAGGCACAATGTCTATATACATCTGATCATATAAAATGCTGTTTATTAAAATGAACTGGAAATGGAAATGAGATTTTTTTTTCCTTTGTTGTGGTTTTTGTTTTCTTTTTGTCTTGTTTGTTCATTTATCTGTCTTTGGGAGGTTAAGGGGAGGCACAGAACATTGAGGGACAAGGGGTGGACAAATGCAGCAGTGGTATTCACTAGACACTATATTCAAAATGAACTATGCAACTTGTAGGTGGGATGGGAGGGAAAAACTGGAAGAGAGTGAGGGAAGGGTTTTATTGTTCAAAAAGAAATACACTCTTAGCCGGGCCCCGGTGGCTCACGCCTGTAATCCTAGCTCTGGAGGCTGAGATCTGAGAATCTCGGTTCAAAGCCAGCCTGGGCAAGAAAGTCCTTGAAACTCTTATCTCCAATAAACTGCCAGAAAACTGAAAGTGGCGCTGTAGCTCAAGTGGTAGAGCTCTAGCCTTGAACTGATGAGCTGAGGGATAGTGCTCAGGCCCAGAGTTCAAGCCCCATGACTGACAATTAAAAAAAAAAAAAGAGAGATATACTCCTTACCTGACTTAGGAAACTAACTCCTCTGTACATCACCTTTATAATAATAAAATGTGGGTGCAGTGTGCCTGAGGTCACATATGAGGTTGCAGTTAGGCTTTCATTTGGAGTTGCACCTACGTCTGAAAGCTTGACTGGTGAAAGACCTACTTGCAAAGACCAGCTTTCAACTTCAGTCCATCCCTTGGTAGGATTCAGTTCCTTGGGGCTGTGGTATTGAAGGCCTTGACTTTTGCTGGTTGTTGGCCATGGGCTTCTCTTAGTTTTTTGCTGTGTATGCTTTTCCAAAGAGCAGTGCACACTATAGCATCTGGCTGTTTTCAGAGCAATGAAAATATGATGGAGAAAACCTGATAAAACTTTATAACTTAACTTTAGAAGTGGTATCTAATTATTTCTGCTATATCCTATCACAATGATTTCTAATTTATTCTTTAAAAACTGGAAAAAATGAAACAAAGATAGAATAATTTGCCCAAGCCTTAAAAGATAATCTGAAGAATTTGGGCAAAACTTCAAATTTACTAGTACCACTTATTTTTTTTCCTACAAGATCTATTTCCTTAGAAAATATGAAAACAGAAAAGAAATAAAAGAACATAAAAGAAAAGTTAATACCAATGCTGAGGACACTATTGTAAGAAATAGCAAAATATTTCACAATTGTTTTAAATTGTCTCGTTTGTCTTGAGAAAATGGTATCCAAATATGTGTGTGTGTGTGCATACACATGTATGATTCTGAATGGAAGTCTATTGTTAAAATTTTCCAGCTTAAGAAATGGTTCAGCTGGGCGCTGGTGGCTCACGCCTATAATCCTAGCTACTCAGGAGGCTGAGATTTGAGGATCGCGGTTCAAAGCCAGCCCGGGCAGGAGAGACCGTGAGACTCCTATCTCCAATAAACCACCAGAAAACCAGAAGTGGCGCTGTAGCTCAAGTGGTAGAGCGCTCGCCTTGAGCTGAAGAGCTGAGGGACAGCGCTCAGGCCCAGAGTTCAAGCCCCACAGCCGACCCAAAAAAAAAAAAAACAAAAAAAAAACGTGGCTAGAGCAAGGGCAGTATACATTAAGGGTTTATCTGAAAGGTTTGGATTTGTTCACAGCTTCTCTTTCAAGAGTTTTTAGAACTCCAGATCCAGAGGGGATTTTGTTCAGTAGCTTAGATATTCATTGTCTGGAAGTTGCCACAAGTTTACTTAAGTAAAAAGCAAAAAAAAAAAAAAAAAGCAAAACCAAATGAAGTTTAAGCTAACTATTGGCGGTACATACCTGTAATCTCAGCTGTGGAGGAGCAATATATAGAATGTTTATGACTGGAAGCTGGCCCTTGGCAAAAATGTAAAACCTTATCTGAAAAATAACTAAAAAAGGGCTGGGGCATGGCTCAAGTGGTAAAGAGCCTCTCTAGTAAATTCAGGCCTTGAGGTCCAACCCAGTTTCCTGTTAAGTTTAAATTACCATTCAGGAAAAATTAAACATTTACTGCCTTGGTTATGCTAGTTACCTTTTAGTTGCTTAGTGGCCAGATATGGCTAGTGGCTACCTATTGGATTGACCACCCAGGTATGAAACATTTTTATTAAAGTTCTATGTTGGTCTGGATCAACTCCTTTATATTTGATGGTTAATCAAGGTATATAAATAAAGTATTACCTGGTGATTGAGATTAGCAACTAAATTGAACTTTATTTCATTTTTATTTTCCAGTTTTTGGAGCCGTGAGGTTTATAGCAGTTTGACCCATATTATCTTAACATGCTTCAAATAAATCAGGTGAGTTTGTTTTAAGGCATGTCATACTTACATGATGCTTTGATCATAAATTGTGGAAATGTTTTTAGTTCTTTTGTAACCAGACCACTCTATATAGAGAAGTTACATGCTATATAGTATTGTAAACAGTTACATACTTTAGGTAGAGTCATTATTGAGGACTGATGGTTTAAGGTAAAGAGTGATAGTTCTAAAAGTAGATAGCTTCAGAGTAGGGAGCAAGAGATTTTTTAAAATGTCAAATCCATTCAGGATTTGTGTTCAAAGTGCTTGTGGTCATAGTCTAGCATCAGTGGCTGGCAGTTCTGCAGACTGAAAGCATTCCTTAGTGACAAATCTTGTGAAGTAGTGTGTCAGTGTGTTAAAAAAAGGTTCTTTTTCTAGGGCATTGAAAAAGGCCAAAAGAAAGTTTCCTGCTAAATAAATTCTCTATAGCCATATAATAAAATACCACATAGGCTCACTGAAAGTATTTTTTTCCTTAGTTTGTTGGCATTTCTGTAAGAACTATATATATTTAATTTTACCTTTCTTGAATAAACAATATTGTACTGGAGGTATAGTATTACAAAATGCTTCGTTTTCTTTTGTTTGCAAATCAAAAGAGAGGTAATTAATTTAGTTTCTGTGATTTGAGAAAATAATCTCCCTTTCCTTCCAAGGATGAGCCTCATGCTCCATTAGAGTTCCATCTTTAAGCCAATATCTTCTAATTTTATACCTGTCGAGGCTTCTTTTCTGAATGCCAGACTCTTCTTGCAGTTATCCTGATATCTTTACACTTATCAGGCTTCATATGTGCTGGAGAAATAATCTAAATACTTCAGTATATCTGGACTGACTTAGTTCCTAGTTTTGGAAGGGCCATTCCAGTTCCAGGGCCTTTGCACAGTCTACTTCTGCATGAACCTCTCTTTACCTTTCCATACTTGGCTCTCTTGACCACAGGCCTAGTTTATGCTAGTATATTTTAACAGGATTGTGATATTCTAAGTTATTCAAATGAATTATAGTTGGCCCTTCATGTCCATGGAAAGTGCATCCATTGGTAATGCACCTGTAGATTCAATCAATGATAGGTTGAAAACATAGGAAAAAAACTGAATGTATCATTCCTTAAACAAGACAGGATAACAATTTATATCTTATTAGATATAAGTAATCTATAAATGATTTCAAGTGTATGGGAGGTTTGTGTAAACCAATAGGCATGCTGCATTTTATATAAGGTGCTTGAGCATCCATAAATCTTGGTATTTGAGGGGTGTCCTGGAACTGATCCTCCATGGATACTGAAGGATTACTGTAATGTTTGATACCTATCTCTGTTGTTCGATGTAAGCTTTACAGAGTGTTTTTTTTTTTGCTTCTTTTACTTTTGTATTCCCATGTCCTATAGCAAATAATGTAAATAGTTGTGTTTGTTATACTGATGAATGGGTGAATGATGCAAAGGTTATCACTAAAGCAAAGAGATGTCTATTATTTTTCCACAGTATCCATGTAGTTGTGTTGTAAGTTTTGGTATTTTATAGTGCTTAGATTATACAGGTGTCTTCCCAGCTGAAAAATCTAGCAAAAGGCTAGAAGTTGAGGTGTGGCACAAGTGGTAGAGTGCCACCCTTGAGTAAAAAAGCTAAGCATCAGCACCCAGGCCCTGAGTTCAAGTCCTAGTGCTGGTATAAAAGAAAAAAAATAGAATAAAATCTCCTTTATGTAAAGTTGTTCTTTGATTTTCTCCTATTTAGAAAATTTCCTTGTATAGTAAAAGATGTTTTCATTAAGACAATTTTAGTAGAGGCTTAAAGGAATATTAGCTTGTACTCTTCTCAGGTCTTCCTCTACCTTGGATGCTGCTACCAAATCTCATTGGAAGGATCAGCAGAGTGTTTGGAGACTAGTGTTGAAAACTGTTGTAGATGTGAAGTTGCCACTAAATGACTTTTTGTGGACACCTGACATTATTAGGGGATGCAATTGGAATACTTTATTTCATGTTCTATAGATTGTTGGAAATAATTATGGATCTTATGGCAACCAATTTGATTGAAAACTATAATATGGGTTAGTATTGATGCAGTTGTACTAATTTGCTACTTGCTGATCATATTGAAATTAGTCATTATATACAATTTGTAGAGATTGTTCCACACTACAACAGGCAGTTCTTTGGCCTTAGGTTAGAAATTGTACATAGTATCTGGAGATATACATAATTAATGTGTAAAACACAACTGTTTTAGGATTAGTTAAGGACCCTTTTTTGCTTCTTGTTACTGACTGAACTTTCATCCATTAAAATATTCAAGTCTAAGCTGGGCATAGTGATGCATTTCTATAGTCCCATCACTTGGATGCAGGGGGTCAGGGAGACTCATGAATTCTAGGCCAGCCTATACTATATATAGCCAGACCCTGTTTTTTTTTTTTTTTAAACAAAACACAAAAACAAAATCCCAAACACACAAACCAACCAACCAACCAACCAAAACTAAGTTGAAAGATTAACATAATTGGGAATAGAATTTGTAAAAAGTAATTTCTCTTTATTTAGCGAAATCTAAATTTGAAATTGGCATGATTTTTATCCTTATGATGATTTTCATGCTAACTTCTTTCTTGGTAGAGTGAGGGTTTTTGAGATAAAAGTAAATTGAGCTGAAAAGAGTATTTGAGGTGATCCTTACCTTGAAAGAGCTGACATTTTTACTAGTGATTTCCTCCTCCTCCTCCTCCTCCTCCGTCTCCTCTGCCTCCTCCTCCTCTTCCTCTTCCTTTTCCTTCTCCTCCTCTTCTTCCTCCTTCTTCTCTTCTTTTTCCTCTTCTTCCTCCTTCTATCTTTTTTTTTTTTTTCCAGTCCTGGGATTTGAACTCAGGGCCTGGGCTCTGTCCCTAAGCTTCTTTTGCTCAAGGCTAGTGCTCTACCACTTGTGCTAGAGCACCATTTCTGGCTTTTTTTTGTTTATGTGGTACTGAGGAATCGAACCCAGGGCTTAATATATGCTAGACAAATACTCTACCACTAGGCCACATTCTCAGCCTACTAGTGATTTTCAACACTGTCTGTAGGATTCTAAGTTTTGATTTGGGATGTCTTTTCCTAAAATGTTGGAAGAACTGCACACTTCTCTTGTCCTGCCAGATCCTTTCATGTGTGTTCCTAAAATAGGTTAAAAACTAGGGTACTGGATGACCTTTAAGATATTTGATACTGGCTTTGCCTCACCTTAATAAGTGCTATGGAACATGGAAATATGTTGTGTTCTGTTACAATAATGGCATTTTTTCTGTCATGAATGTGTGATCTTCAGTTGTGCTTTCTCTCTCTCGAAATGTGTTAATGTCCTTCTGCAACCCATTCTTGTTGAAGTAAAACTACATTGGCATTGATAAGTAAAAAACAAAAGAAAAAAAATCACAAAAATTCCACTATTCTTTTACAGAGATAATTACTGCTAACATTTTGGGGTGTATACTTCTAGATTTTTTTCTATTCAGGTATGTTTTTATGTGAGTATGTGTTATTAATAAAACAGGTTTTTTAATATGTAAAATTCTGAAGTGATTTAATAATAATCTTTAGATGTACTAAAACTTATTAAACCAACCTCTTTTTGTTGGACAAATTGGTATATCATAATGCCAAAATGAAATTTTGAGATTGGTCAGTTTTTCAGTTATCATAACAAATTATTAGAAATGAAATACTAGAGCTGGAGACATGGCTCAAAGGTAAAATAAAACAAAAAGCCTGGTCAGCCAGGTGTGGTGGCTGATGCCTGGATTCCTAGCTGTTTAGGAAGCTGAGATCTGAGGATCACAGCCCAGGCAGAAAAGTCCCTGTGAGACTTTTATCTCCAATTAATCACTCAAAAACCAGAAGTTGTGCTGTGGCTCAAGTGGTAGAGCACTGGCCTTGAGCACAAAGAGGCTCAAGGACAGCTCCCAGGCCCTGAGTTTAAGCCCACAACTGACAAAAACAAACAACAAACAACAAACTGGTCAAAAGTGTATGTGGATTTTAAACACAAAAATTAAAAAAATTATGTGTTAATAGGATATGGGAATGCTTATTTCCTTCTGGCAATTTCTTTTTATCTCTGATAATCTGTCTGACAAAAAAGTGGTATTTTAGTTTGCATTTCTGTGATCTATATTTGTTATTTTTATTATTTTGCTTTCTGTGAATTATGTGTGCCCATTGTCATCTTTTCCTTTTCCTTTGTAAATTACATTATTTCTATTTTTTATTATTATTAAATAGTTGCACAAAGGTGTTACAACTTTTTAAGTCAGGCTATGAGTACAATACTCTTGATCAGTGTCACCCATTCTTTCATTCTCCCCCATTTCTACCCTCCCATATCTACCCTCAAGTTCCGCAGTTTGGTATTTCATACTGTACATAGAATATAATGACCACATTTGCTCATTCTTTCTCCTTCCATTTATGTGGTCTCCCCCTTTGCCTAATTCCCCAAAACATAGTTCCATTTCCTGGTAAATGTCATTATTTTCATTAAACCTTTGAGACTATGAGTCAGTATTTATAATTATTACTTTTTTTTTAGAAAAAGAAAAATTGAATGAGAGTCTAGTAGTTACCAGGATAGCAAGTAGACAGGGTGTTTTTCTTACTAATGATAAGTCTGTAGGGAAATCATTCAATATTAAGCTGCACCAATATAAATTAAGAAGGTATATTTTCAAATGATTGGTTGCAGAAGGATCATTTCTTTTAAATTAGCTGAAGAGGCAGACTTGACAAATCAGTGTGTCCTAAGGGATTAGAGAAGTCTGTGTTATGTAAATTGTAGTATTGTGGTAACCGAGGAACAAAGAATTCATAGCAGAGGAACAAAGAATTCATAGAAGTCTTAAGTATTTTGCTAATTCCTTTTACCAGGGTGTGGTAGTAGATGTTGGGAATCTGGAAGCTAAGAAGTTTTGCAGCCTGACCAGAGTAGATCAGGCAGGACAAAACACTTTGAATGTGGAGGTACAGTGGAACCCTGCAGGGAAAGGGGGTTCTTCTGCAGGTGCTGTCAGAACAGGAAAGTTGTTAACCTGTAGACTGTAAGACAGGGTGTGAAACAAATGATGTAGGTTTTAAGGAATAATGATGTCTATGTTTGTAAGTTTGCTGTGAGGAGTTGCTGAGTTAGTGAAGCAAAATGCTCAGCACTGGTTCTGATGCTGCTACTTCTGCTATCTATTTTACTATTAATGTTATTGTTGGTATTGCTTCTTGACTTGTGACTGATTGGAAAGCAGGGTAGAGATCATTTGAATACTTGGAGGAATAAGCCACTTGGGATTGGTTTCAGTTACTTCCCCTTTTTTCTCCATAGACACCAGGAAGTTACTTTTCTTTTTTCTTAAAAGTTTTTGCTGCCCTGCGCCCATGGCTCATGACTGTAATCCTAGCTATTCAGGAGGCTGAGATCCAAGGATCACGGTTCAAATCTTGACCAGGAAAGGAATGTCTGTGAGACTTTTCTCCAATTAACCATCAGAAAAACTGAAAGTGGTGCTGTGGCTCAAGTGGCAGAGCGCTCACTTTGAGCTGAAGAGCTGAGGAACAGCACCCAGACCCAGAGTTCAAGCCCTACAACCTATTAAAAAAAAAAAGCGGGGGGGGGGGGGGGAGGGGAGTTATTGGTAATTAAGCCTGGTGTGGTGGCTTACACTGATAATCCTAGCTACTCAGGAGATCGGAGATCTGAGGTTCACAGTTCAAAGCCAGCCCAGGCAGGGAAGTCCATGAGACTCTGATCTCCAATCAGCCACCAGAAAACATGAGGAGGTGCTATGGCCCAAAGTATTAGAGCACTAGCAGTGAGCAAAAAGAGCTTAAGGACAGTGCCCAGGCCATGAGTTGAAGCCCCATGACTGACCAAAAAAAAAGTTATTGCTACTAACTCTTAGTTTTATTTTTCTCCATCTTGGCATATGGAGTACAGTCTACCTTTCACAGCCATGAGACAAGGTCTGTAGTTACACAAGAAAAACAGTAAGCATTAGAGTATTAAAATATAGAAGGAGTCAAGTACAGTGATTCACATTTGTAATCCCAGTTACTTAAGAGGCATAGATCAGAAGGATTGCAGTGTGAGGCCAGCCATAATGAAAAGTTAGCAAGATTTCATCAGTGAACAAGCCAGGCATGGTGGTGTACACCTCTAATCTCAGCTATGTGGGAGATGTAGGTGGGAGGCACAGGTAGAAGGATCACCATCTGAGGCCTGCCTGGGCAAAAACATGAGACCATATCTAAAAAATAGGCAAAGCTAAAAAGAGTACAGGGCAAAGTTTAAATGTAAACCATAGGGCCCTGAGTTTGAACCCCAAATCACCCCTAAAAAATGTGTAAGAAGTACTTTTAGTATCTCCTCTGTTGACTTAACAGGAACTGGATTTATTCTGTGTGTGACCACTGCCAAGGTGGTCCCCAGTGATCACTTCATTTTATCTGCTATTTATACATTTGTGTTGTCTTTGTACAACAAGGGCAGTAGGTGTGATCAATGGAACGTGGCAGGCTCATTTTTATTTTTTTATTGGCCAGTCCTGGAGCTCAGGGCCCGGGCACTGTCCCTGAGCCTACTTTTGCTCAAGGCTAGCGCTCGTATCACTTGAACTACAATACTGCTTCCAGCTTTTTCTGTTATGTGGTACTGAGGAATCGAACCCAGGGTTTCATGCATGCTAGGCAAGCACTTTATCACTAAGCAACATTCCCAGCCCCAGTGATGGTTCATTTTTGAGGATAGGTTATTTTGTTTCCTTTTATTCTCCTGTATTCTACGTTCTCTGTTTCTCTTCTATACGTCTTCCTCTGTCTTCATCTTGTTCTCTTGCATGCGCTCCCTCTTCCTTGGTTTTGGATTGCTTGTTCTGAGAGTAGTTAGTTGCCATGTTGTGAAAAACTGATGGGAGAAGCACACGTCATGGGAAATGAGTGTTCCTGACAGCAGCCAGCAAGAAAAGGTGGCCTCTAACCAACAACACGTGAGTGAACCCTTTTGGAAGCAAGTCTTCCCACTGAAATCAAGTTTTCTGACACCTGCTCTACTGAAATCTTAACTACAACTTCATGAGATATCCTGAGCAAGAACTGCCCAGTTCAACTGCTTGCTGCTTGTTGACTCTCAGAAACTGAGAACAAATAAAAAATACTCAATGTTTGTTTTATAAGGCTGCTGAGTTGGGGGTAACTTGTTCTGCAGTTAAAAATATGCCTTTCCTCCCTAGACAAGCAGAGAACATACAAAATACGTGAACTTTTTTTTCAACATTAAATAATAGGCAACACTAGACTGTGATCCCTGAAAGAATGGAGACTAATGAGGTACAAGCTCTTCTACTGCAGTCTACAGTCTAGAGGCAGTACTGGCTTTAGTGAAGAAGAAACCAAAAGAAAGGCCAGCAGGCTTTTTTTGTTTTGTCGGTCGTGGGGCCTGAACTCTGGGCCTGGGTGCTGTCCCTCAGCTCTTCGCTCAAGGTTAGAGCTCTACCACTTGAGCCACAGTCCCACTACCTGCTTTTTCTGCTTATGTGGTGCTGAGGAATCGAACCCAGGGCCTCATGTATGCAAGGCAAGCACTCTACCACTGAGCCACTTTCCTAACCCAGAGTGTAGCCCAGGCTGGTCTCAAACTCATGATCCTCCTGTAGCCTCCTCCTCATTGATTACCGCATGCCACCAAGGCCAGCCCAGCAGTCTTGTGATAAGGAAGCAAAGATAAGAATCTTGGAAAGATAAGGTGTGACAGAGTATTAGTAAACAAAAGGAGCTGGCAACTGGAGGCTGAGCGCAGGGGAGGACTAGGAGATTGTACACGAATGAGCAAGAAAGCCATGTATGCATACATTCTGGAGAGGTACAGAGCGTTCTTTTTCTTTTTTTTTTTTTAAATACCAGTCCTGGGACTTGAACTCAGGGCCTGAGCACTGTCCCTGAGCTTCTTTTGCTGAAGGCTAGCACTCTACCACTTGAGCCACGGCACTACTTCAGACTTTTTCTGTTATGTGGTATTGAGGAATTGAATCCAGGGCTTCATGCAGGCTAGGCAAACACAATACCACTAAGCTACATTCCCAGACCATAAGGGTTCTTCTTGATGCTTTACCTGAGTTCTGATTTGTAAGTGTTTGACAGGACAGGACTTATTTGAAGTCACAGGAAAAACTGCTGGAAATCAGTGAGATAAATTCTAAAGCTCACACAAAGCACGATACTGGCCATGTTTTCATGGAACATTGGGAAGATTCCCAGATGACTCCAAGTGATTTAAAGTAAGTTAAGTGTGTACCTGAACACTCTTTATAAGAATATAATACAGTCCAGAATCCAACAATAAGAATTCATTTACTGTCATGTAACACAAAATACTTGCCTTACCTTCAGTAATAGATAGAACTTCCAGAAAGATTTTAAGGAAATAGAAGACATGAACACTACTATAATTAGATTAAGGGACACATGCAGAACACCAACAACATTA